AGGCCTCTATCCACCCCATGAAAGTATCTACCAAGGTTAGAAGATATTTAACCTTTTTTACAGGTGGCATATGTGTGAAATCAATTTGCCAATCTTCCCCTGGTAGTTGTCCCCTGGACTGGTGAGTCTTTGTGTGTGTTTGAAAGCCAGCTTGGGGACTGGTGGTTGAGAAAATGGGACAGGCCTGTGTTATTGTCTGTGTGTATGTTGCTAAGGATGGGTGGTATAGAAAAGGCCTGAGAAGGTGCAGGAGGGGTTGGGTTCCTATATGGAATGAGTTATGTATGTCAGTGAGGAGAGGAATTATTTGATCATCAGGTATGACATGGTATCCCCGATATAGAAGCCAATCATTTCTTAGTGTAGCACCCTTTTCCATGTATTTGGACTTTTCCTGAGGAGAATAGTTAGGTTTTAAGGGTGGAATGATTAACAACTGGTTTTGGCTTTGGGGAACACATTGTTGTGCCATGTTGCAGGCAGTTTGATCTGCTCTGTTGTTTCCCTGAGCTATAGGAGAGGAAGATGATTGATGTCCTTTACAATGAATGACCCCCACTTGTGTTGGGAGGGTGGCTGCTTGGAGAAGGGCATGTATTAGATGTCCATTAATAATGGGTGTCCTTTTGTGGTCATAAAGCCTCTTTCTCTCCAAGTGGAGTTATGAAAGTGTAGGATGTGGTATGCATATTTGGAGTCAGTATAAATATTGCCTCGCCTGTTGTGAGCTAAAGTAAGAGCTCAGATGAGTGCAATTAATTCTGCTTGTTGAGAGGTAGTGTTGTGTGGGAGTGTGTTAGCCTCAATGGTCTGTGTGAAAGAAACTATGGCATATCCTGCCCCCTTCTGGCCGGGCACATGGGTGGAAATTGAGCTGCCATCAATAAACCATGTGAGTTCTGGATCTGAGATAGCCTCTGAGGAGACATTAGGGAGGGAGGGTAGAAGGTTTTCAATTGTTTCTGTGCAGGAGTGGGAGAGTGTCTGAACGGCCTCAGGAAGGAGAGTGGCTGGGTTAAGGGAGGGGCAGGACTGAAGAGAGAAAGACGGGTTTTCTATAAAAGTGGTATGGAAGAGCTGTAGCCTAGAGGGGGACAGGTGTGAGAGGCTATAATGAGTGAGTAAGTCCTATAAGTGATGGGGTGACTTTACTGTCGTTGGTTGGCCAAAGGTAAGTTTGGAACTTTCTTGGGCTGAGAAGCGGCCACCAGAGTGCGTAAACATGTAGGCCAGCCTCAGACCATATAATCAAGCTGTTTAGACAGGTAGGAAACTGGAACAAAGTGTGATCTTATGTTTTGTCCCAGAATTCCCAAAGCCAATCCTGTTCATTCAGTGACATACAGAATGAATGGCTTTTGAAGATCTGGGAGAGCCAGTGCTGAGGCAGAGAGGATAGCAGCCTGAAGCCTGAGAAATGGTCCCTTGATAGAAAGATTATTTATAGATTCATTTGGGTCTCCCTTGGAAGCATCATACAGAAGCTTAGCAAGTAGACTGAAGTTTGCTATCCATAAGTGGAGAAAGCCTGTGAGCCCCGGTAAAGACAGGATCTCAGCCTTGGAGGAGGGGATGGGGAGGTCCCGAATAAGTTGTTTATGATCCAATGTGCTCTCTCGTTGCTGATATGAGATCTTAACCCCAAGGTATTGTACTGTGAGTTGGGAGAGTTGGGCCTTGTCCCTGGAGACTCGGTACCCCTTTTTATATAAGAAATTAAGTAATGAGGCCATGTGTTGCTGAGAGAGAGTGTGAAGGTGGGGCTGCACAAAAGTAAGTCATCTACATATTGGAGCAGCTTAGAGGAAGAGGTTTAATTTTAAGAGGTCAGTAGCCAAGGCCTGTCCAAAGAGGTGCGGACTATCCCGGAAACCCTGTGGAAGAACTGTCCAAGTAAGTTGTTGAGAGTGTCCCGTATCAGGGTCAGTCCATGTGAAAGCAAAAAGATTTTGTGAGTTGGGGTGTAGGGGGATGGTGAAAAAGGCATCTTTGAGGTCTAGAACCGTGAAATAACATGAAGAGGAGGGGATGTGGGACAATAACGTGTAGGGTTTGGGAACAACAGGATGTAAAGGAAGTACAGCAGAATTGATGGCTCTTAAGTCTTGTACTAATCTGTAGGAACCATTTGTTTTTAAAACTGGAAGGATAGGAGTGTTGTAGGGGGAGTGAGTTGGTCTGAGAAGTCCCTTGTTGAGTAGACTGGTAATTACAGACTTTAATCCTTTTAAATGTTTTAAGGCTAAAGGGTATTGGGGAACATTTGGAAATTGAGTGATATCTTTGAGAGAGATCTGAATGGGAGACCTATCAGTCCGGAGTTCGGTCCCCAGTACCGGGGGAGAACCTCCCCCCCCCCAAATAAAGGATTGAGGTAAATAAAGCTGTGTGGTAGAGTACAGTACCTACCTAGAATGCACAAGTCCTTGAGTTCAACCCTTAGCACTTGTAAAAACAGGAAGGGGGTTATTAAGGCTGTTAAGGTATTAAGTGAGAGTTTCTAGGGGCAGAGAAGATGGAGAAGATCTTATTAAAAATGAGCTCTTGGGGTTGGGGATTTAGCTCAGTACCAAAAAGAAAAAGAAAAAAAAAAGTTCTTTTAGGGGCTGTGGATGTAGTTCAATGATAGAGCACTTGCCTAATATGCAGTATGCCTTGAGTTCCATCGCCGGCATCACAAAAAAAAGCTTTTGTTTTGTTTTGTTTTTTGGTATAGGGGATCAAAACTAGCAAGTGCTGAGGTATGTCCCCAGCACACATTTTAAAATTTTGATACAGGGTCTAAGTTGCTAAGGCTGGCCTTGTGATCCTCCTGCCTCAGCCTGTCAAGTAACTGGCATTACAAATGTGTACTACTATGCTTGGCAAAAATTCTTTTTTAAGGCCAGGGATTTAGCTCAGTGGTGCCGCTGTCTGCCTTGAAAGCACAAGGTCCCGAGTTCGATCCCTGGTACCAAAAATATTTTAAAAATTTTAAATATTTATGTATTCATTTTTGTTTTATGAGACAGTATCATTATGTAGCCTAGGTTGGCCTTGAACTGTCAATCCTCCTGCCTCGTCATCCTGAGTGCTGAAATTACAGGCATGTGCTAACAAGCCTGACAAAACATTTTTTTAATTGTAATGAAATATACATAACAAAATTTTGTTTTGTTTTTGCAGTACTGAGACTTGAACTCAGGGCCTTCATACTGAGCTTATTGAAAATAATTTGTGCCATAAATTTTGAGATCAAGAAGTCCTTCAACCTCCAACTTTGTTCTTTTTTTATTATTTATTTATTTATTTATTTTGAGACAAGTTCTTATTATGTAGTCTAGGCTGGCTTTGAACTCACTATGTAGTCTATGCTGGCCTCAAACTCAGCAATCCTCCTGCCTCAGCCTCTCAAATGCTGGAGTCATAGGCATGTGCCACCATACCCAATTTGACCTTGAGGATCTCTTTTTTGTGTGGTACTGGGGAGTAAGCCCAGGTCCTTTATACTGAGCTATATCCAGAGTCCTTTTTTATTTTTATTTTTTTATTTTGAGACTCAGTCCTCTTAAGTCACTAAGTTGTCCAGACTGGGTTTGAATTTGTGATCCTCTTGCCTCAACCTCTCAGAGTGTTGGAAGTATAGGCGTGTGCCTTCAGGCTTGACCTGTTTTTTTCTTTTGATGCTATTGTAAATGAAATTGTTTTCTTAATTTTTTGATTGTTCACTGTTATTGTATAGAAATACAACTGATTTTGGCATGCTGATATTGTTGTATCCTGCAACTTTGCTTAATCTTTTTATTCTAACAAGGTTTTTTCGTAGTATCTTTAGGGTTTTCTACATGAATATGTTGAGGGAATCTCAGGAAGTTTCCTGTGAGTTTCCCCTGAAGTTTCTATGAGGGGGCACACTAATTCTTTATACGTGCTATTTGTATTATATTGAAAATCTGGCCTTAACTCCGATTCATTAAGTTGTTTCCGTGGGAGTGTGGGAGATTACAGAAAGTTATAGTTGGAAGGGTTCTCAGATCCTGAAGTGCAGCCCAAGGTCAACACAGCAAATTAGAGGTTAAACAGGCATGTGAAACCTGATCTGTGTTTCTCCTCTTAGCTTTCTAGGAGCAGACAAAGCCATGCTGGCAGCCAGGGTGAAGGCCTTGCCTAGAAGGTATTTATGAACTCAGACTTGTTCTCTTTCTGCTTTCACCCAAGGCTTTCCTTATCTTAGGAAGTGGGAATCTGGCTGAATCCCAGTTCATCTGGTTAAAATGAACATCTTGGGTGGTCTAAGATGGAAAAGAACTTGATGAAGAGTCAGATTTGGAAGTGGGAGATAGAGATGGAAGTAGGACACATTTGTTTTTCAGCACTGGTTGAACACATAGGCTTAGCTTTAAGGATGCATATTTTCTCCTAGCTGAATGCCTGAGTCACTGCCAGCTTCTTGTAATGGGGTTTAGAGAGGAAGGTACACTCTGAAGGTTAAGACTGTGGCCCCTTACACTGAGGGATCATAGACAGGTGGGAGGGAGACTACCAGGCACAGAATGAACACCTGTTGAGGAGCAGAGGTCTGACTTTGTATCCTGGACATTTTCTCTTTTTCTGTCTATAGTAAATGTTACAGCATTTTATAAGCCCTAAGTGCCAGTTGCTTAAGAAATGTTTTGCATACATTTGTTTTCCTGCAAATGCTAGCTGGGCTCTTAATTATGCTAAATTCCTCTCCTTTAATCTTTGTTTTGTTTTTCTATAGTGAATACAGACTACAGTTTTCCCTTGGTGTCCATGAGGGATCAGTTCCAGAACTCCCTGTGGATTCCAGAATCTGAAGGCACTCAAAGTCCCTTATATAAAACAGTGTAAGCATTTGCATGTAACCTGTCCATCTCCTCCTGTACACTTTAAATCATTTCTAGATTACTGATAATACCTAAAACAATATAAATGCTATATAGTTGGGGCCAGGGATTTAGCTCAGTGGTTCCACTGCCTGCCTCGCAAGCGCAAGGACCTGAGTTTTATCCTCAGTACCAAAAAAACCCCACAAAACAAAAAACAGTTTCATAAATGCTATATAGTTGTTATACTGAATTGTCTAGGGAATAATGAGAAGGAAAGTATACATGGTCAGCACTTTTTTTTTTCTCTATTTTCCATGGTTGTTTGACTCTATGGACGTGGAATCCAGGCATAAAAGTTGTTAAAGTGAGAATTTCAGGAAGGCTGTACTTGACCTCCAAGTCACCATAGACTGCTGAGAGCAAAAAAGTCAGTGGTTCAAAGAGGACTTTCCTTTCTCTCATCTGGAGCTTGGAAAGGTTGAGGGCTGGCATATTGCTCAGTGGTTGTTCACTTGCCAACACACACACACACACACACACACACACACACATGACTGATGTAGAAGTGTATTTTAACAGGTGTTTCTTAAATGAGGCTGTTACAAGAAAGGTGGGTCACTGTATTTGTCAGCCTTCCGTTGCCGTGATAAAATACCAATATCTTTTTTTTTTTTTTGGTACCGGGGATTGAACTTGGGTCCTTGTGCTTGCGCAGTAGGCGGCGAAACCACTGAGCTAAATCCCCGGCCAAATATCAATATCTTTAAAGGAAGGCTATTTTGACTCTCAGTTTCAGAGGTTTTAGTCCATAGTTGGCTGGCTTCAAGACAGAAATGGCATGGCAGAAGGACCTGGTGGAGGAAAGCTCTCACCTCCTGGCAGCCAAAAGCAGGGAGAAGTGCACCAGTGAGAGACGTACCCTCCAAAGGTACCCTCCCTCCCCCGTGACATACCTCCATCTGGGGCCTCCTCCTAACAGCACCTCCTCCTAATCCAGCTGTGAAGATCAGTGGGTGGATCCCCTGAGGATGGTACCTCCATGATCCAATCACCTTCCTGGAATCTCTTAATCCAATGATGTTAAGCTTAACCTTCACGGTCTTGTTCCCAGCTTCAGAGGAGGGTGCTACTTATTTTATCCCTGTCAACTTTAATTATCTAGAGTGCTCATTCACTTCAGGACCAATCAGTTTGAAAAACTGGTGCAGAACAGTTTTGGTTTCAGTTCTTTGAAAAGTACGTGTAGGAACATCTCTCTTTAAACAGAATTATATACTCCCCTTTTTAGGGTAATGTTAGCATTCACTTTCCAGATGCAGATGAAATTTAACTTATTAAAAAAAAATTTTTTTCCCCTCAGTACTGGGGATTGAACCTAGGGCCTTCTCACTGAGTTACATCTTAGCCCTTTTTATCTTTTACTGAGATAAGTCTCCCTAAATTGCCCAGACTAAGGGACTCAAGTTTGCAGTCTGTCTCAGCTTCCCAGAGTGCTGCAATTGTAGATATATGCCATTACATCCAGCTCAAATTTAACATTTTGAAAGTAAGAGTCTTTACAGCACTTACTCTTCCAAACCCTAAAGCCAAGCCAGGAGTGATGGTGCACACCTGTAATCCCAGCACTTAGGAGGCCAAGGCAGGATTGTGGTTGAGTTTGAGGCCAGTCTGGACTACACAGGGAGACTCTCACAGAAAAAGAAAAGGGGCCGGGGATTTAGCTCAGTGGTTATGCCACCTACCTTGCAAGCATAAGGACGTGAGTTCAATCCCCAGTGCCAAAAAAAAAAAAAAAAAAAAAAAAAA